GGCCATACGTGATGCGAGGAAACCCAGCTACCCAGCAATGAAAGAAGCAAAAAAGAATGGTAAAACTGTGAAATTTATAGGTGCTAAACTTTACATTGATGGTAAGGAATATATTACCCCAGCAACATATTCAAACTAGAGGTGTCATGCAGATAGTCAATTAAACATTTTGGCATGGAATATTAATGGTTTAAAAAGGAAAATTGTTGAAGAACATTTTATTTCATTTTTACAAAAGTATGATTTAATATTTTTGTGTGAAACCTGGTTATCTAAAAATGATACATTTGACTTTAATATTAGTGAATATAATGTTGAACATTTATATGGTAACAAATCAAAAAATGTGTCAAAAGGACGTTATAGTGGAGGAATTTCTTTTTATTACAAGTCTTATTTGAAGCAATATGTACACATTGTTGAAAAACATGACTATGGTGTAATATGGGTAAAACTTTCACGTGTATTGTTTAATTTTGATCAAGATGTATTTGTATGTCATGTTTATATTCCACCAGCTCAGTCTAAGGTACTTAAACATGTAGATTTTGATTTTTTCGAACAGATAGAATATGATGTTATAAGATATAATGACCTAGGGAAAGTTTTTGTTTCCGGTGATCTGAATAGTAGGACTTCCGATTTCCCTGATTATTTAGTCTATGATAAGTATTTAGACCAAAATATATCTTTTTTGAATATACGTGATGTGCCTTTAAGAGTAAACAAGGATCATGTGATTGACAGTCATGGGCGGCGCTTAATAGATATATGCCAATCGACAGGGTTATTAATAGCCAACGGCCGAATTTACAATGATCGAAACAGGGGTGACTTTACTTTTTGTGCAAACGGTGGCCTCTCAACTGTAGATTATCTGTTACTGAATTTTGAAGATTTTGATTCGCTCAACGATTTTGATATTCTTGAATTTAATGAATATTCGGATCATGCACCATTGCTGTTTTCGTTTTCAAGAAAAAATGATAATAACATTTTTAACTGTGAAGAGTCAAATATCGAAAACGATACTAAACTGATATGGGACGCGGATAAAGTACCCCTGTTCAGGTCGAATATATTGAATAATAACTATGACGTTATACAGTCATTGAATGAAATTGTGCGCAATGAACCGATAGACCACGTGTTACAGAAATTTACCGATCTATTATTACGTGAAACACGTGCCGTATTTAATAAAGAGTTTCATAGGTATACGCGCGACACTGGTCATCGATCTAGCCAAAAATGGTTTGATGCTGATTGCGTAAATGCAAAACGCGACTTTAAAAGAAAGCGTAATATCTTTAATAGAGATAAGTCAGATACAAATATGACCCTTTTCGTTAGCGCGAGAACAAACTATAATCGTATTAAACGTAAAGCGATTAAAAAACATAAAATAGCTGAGGGTAAAAAAATTAACCAATTGGCCAAAACTCAGCCAAGAAAATTTTGGAAAATTATTAGAAAAACATTTAAAAAGAAAACGGCGGAAGCTGACGATCTAAATGTCGAGCAACTTCATGACCACTTCAGGTCATTATTTGGAGAACCCCCGGGATTGGATATAAATAACAATAATTTGACCATTGAGAATAATGTACGAAACGATATTTTAGATCGTGATATTTCTGAGGAAGAAATACGTGCGGCTGTATTTTCCCAAAATAACAACAAATCTCCCGGACCCGACATGCTTATATCAGAGGTTTTTAAATCTACTTACGATGTTTTCTCCCCGTTTTTACATAAATTGTATAATAGAATATTTCAATGTGGGGAATACCCACAGTCTTGGGGAGAGGGTATAATTACACCTATTTTTAAAAAGGGTGATACTAATGACCCCCAAAATTACCGCGGCATTACACTTATAAATATCTTGGCAAAAATATATTCCCAAATCCTACTAAATAGGCTCACGAAGTGGTCAGAAGAGAATGATAAGATCTGCAAGAACCAATATGGTTTTCAGAAAGGAAAATCTATTGTAGACTGCATATTTATCTTACATTCTATAATATCAAAAGTACTTAACTCTGGTGATAAACTGTATTGCATTTTTATAGATTATGAGAAATGCTTCGATAAGATCGACAGGACATATTTATGGCATAAGTTGCTTAAAGAAAACGTAAGTTCTAGACTTGTGAGAGCTCTAAAGTCAATGTATATGACGGTAAAATCGTGTGTTAAATATAAGTCGAATTATTCTGACTTCTTCGAATCGCATATAGGTTTGAAGCAAGGGGACCCGAGTTCCCCTCTGCTGTTTATGTTCTTCGTGAACGACATCTTAAGGTATATTAATACCGACCTAGAAGGTATTTTCTCTATTGATGAACTTCAGCTATTCTTAATACTTTTCGCAGACGACCAAGTATTGTTTGCTAAGTCCCCGCAGAGTTTACAGTCGATGATGTCTGATGTCGAGAGATACTGTAGTCTTTGGGGATTAAAGATAAATACCTCGAAAACAAAAGCAATGATTTTTGAAAAGGGCAGACATACACACCATGACTTTTATGTTAACGACACCCTTATTGAACTGGTGAATTCATTCAAATATTTAGGTATCACTTTGTTAAAGAACGGAAACTGGTATAGAACTCAGAAATATATATCTGAACATGCCTCATTTGCTCTTTATAACGTTTTTACCATATTTAATAATATTGAGTTGTCTGTTTCTCAGAAATGTAAAATTTTTGATTCACTTGTCGGCTCAATCCTTAACTTTGGATCAGAAATTTGGGGAATGCATGACGGACGCGATGTTGAAAAAATACATACAAAATTTTTGAGACGACTTTTATGCGTTCGAAAATCAACTAACATCTCGGCGCTATACGGTGAATTAGGCCGTTACCCTTTTTCTGTGATGAGACAAATTAAGATGATTAAGTTTTGGGTGAAAATTATTAAGCTTGACGATACAGAGATTGTTAAAAAAGTTTATTCAATGCTTAAGCAAGATGTTGATTCTGGGAATACATATAACTCAAAAAAACTGGGCTTTTTGTATTAAAAACATTTTAACAACCCATGGTTTAGCGTATGTATGGATTAACCAGTTTGATATAGATATTCCCTTTGTCATTATCAGACAAAGAATTATAGATACTTTTATACAGAAGTGGTATACTGATATAAACAATTCTGGTCGCCTGCAAACTTATAGCATTTTTAAACATGATTTTAAATGTGAAAAGTATTTTGATTTAATTACAGACAAAAATCATAGAATTGCTCTTACTAAATTTAGAACGTCATCACATAACTTATGTGTAGAATCTGGTCGATATGAAAATATACCAAGATCAGAAAGAATATGTAAATCTTGTTTAATGAGACAACCTGAAACAGAGTATCATTTTTTGTTAGTCTGTCCACGTTATAGAGAATTGAGGAAAAGGTTTTTTAAACCTTATTATTGTCACTGGCCGTCTGTTATAAAATTCGACAGCCTAATGTCTTCTAATTCTAAGAAAACTATATTGTGCTTTATCTAAATTTATTTACTTAGCAAATAGACAACGTATTTCATAGTATCTCTTCTAGTAATATCTGAAAATGAAATATATTCGAACCATAATTTATTGTTTAAGATGTTTGCATTTGCATGTATATCTTTCAAAGGAACTGACTTGCAACAGTGAATATTACGTTTAGTCTGTAGGACTTTAGTGTTCTTCATGTCTTTATATTTTAGAAAATGACAGAATAAGTTAAGTGCAAACTATTCAGGATATTGTAGGTTGGCGTATGTTTACTTTAAACTTATGCATGCAAGTGCAACATATATATTAAACATGTTAAATATTGAATATTAAACATAATATTCTATGAATCATCCTATGTTTACTGGAAAATCTATGTTTTGATCTCCATACATTGTATATATCACAATTAATACTTGTTATAAAATTCGGTAGCCTAATGTCTTCTAATTCTACGAAAACTATATTGTGCTTTGTCTAAATTTATTTTCTTAGCAAATAGACAACGTATTTCATAATATCTCTTCTAGTAATATTTGAAAATGAAATATATTCGAACCATAACTTATTGTTTAAGATGTTTGCGTTTGCATGTATATCTTTCAAAAGAACTGACTTGCAACAGTGAATATTACTTTAGTCTAAAGGACTTTAGTGTTCTTCATGTCTTTATATTTTAGAAAATGATAGAATAAGTTAAGTGCAGACTATTCAGGATATTGTAGGTTGGCGTCTGTTTATTTGAAACTTATGCATGCAAGCGCAACATATATATTAAACATGTTAAATATCATATTGAATATTGAACATAATATTCCATGAAACATCTTATGTTTGCTGGAAAAATCCATGTTTTGATCTCCAAACATTGTATATATTACAATTTATACTTGTTATAAGCATTGTACTATGCTTTATACAAATAAACTTTTCGTATTCGTATTCGTATTCGTATTTTCACAAAATAAAAAGCTTTTACAGAAAATAGAATGTTTTTCCAGCTGAACAATAATGTTAAGTACAAAAGATTGACTGTGGGTCAGAAAATCAGCATTAATAAAAAATAGAAAAAATAATGTAGTAATGTTTTGATTACTAAAGCATATATTGTGACAATAGAAATGGTCATTAAGTTGTATTAAAACAGATAATATCATTTTTGTCTTCTGATTAAGATGGCTGGTAGACCCCAACATGTGTATAAATTTGAAACAAATTAAACTTTGATTTTGAAACGTATTCCAATGGCAGGTAGATTTGCTCACTCTCCAAATACATGCAGTTATTTTGTTTTGTTCAGATTTATAATATGTATTTTACTGAAGGTATATGATAAAAGGAAAATTACAATGAATGCTTTTCTATTGTATTGTATGGCCCTTGTTAATTACATTCACAAACTTTATATACAACCTACTCAAGCAATACAATGTATCCAAATAGCACATTGACGTAATATTTCCTATGTATCTTGTTGTATTGTTACTGTTTCAGGTGTTTGCTGGTATTTTCCCTGCTGACCAGTCCCAGCACATGGCACTGAAACTTGCCATAGAAAAACTCACTCTCAATGACTCAAGTGTAGACATACATATAGACAACAGGTAAACCCCCCCCTCCTTTCTTTGTTGTGTCCCCTTTGAAGAAGAGGAGACATCTGGTTTCATAGCATGATGTCAGGCGGTCATACATGCATCCAAAATAGAATAAAGGGCTATTTCTTTTGTCATTTTTTTGTTTATATAAAGGGCCAATTACTATATTGTTATGAAATGAACTCTATTTTTCTCTTTTGTTCTGTTTTATGTTAAATGGCCCCCTCTCTCTATTTGGTAATGTGATAAGACCATGTGATCTGTTAATGACTTTTGTGTCTCCTGCTACAATAGCTTCAACATGCATCATGAGGCGACACATGTGATAACTGATTGGTCTTGTATTAATATTTTGTTGCTGTATTATTTCTTATCACTATTTCAGTGCTGTATTAGGTCAAGGTTGGAGACTAGGGTTTCTAGGATTATTACATATGGATGTGTTTATTACAAGATTAGATCAGGAATTTAATGCTTCTGTGATAGTGACAGCTCCAAATGTACCTTACAAAGGTAAATATCTACAATATGTAGGTAAAAACCTTCTCTTTTTTATTTGGCTTTCAGCTTTCATATTAGAGAAGAAAGTTAAAATCTAATAATAAATCTTTTAAAGGGACTGACTTAAAACTTAGTGTAGATATACTGTAACAATGATCAGTACAGATATATATCTATCATATCCCATTGTTTAATCATCTTTTTTTTTAATTGTTGTTTTAGAGTTTTAATTATATTTCACCACCTTCAATTAAACCTTCATCTTCTGTGATTGAGCAAGTTGCAGATGGTATTTTTATCATTTTCAGTTTATTTTGAAATCGATGTACAATAATAAAAAAAACAACAAAGTATAAACAAATAATTTACAGCATTGTGATATTTTATTTAGTGACTATAAAGGGAGCCAAGAATATAAAAAAATATGGTGGAGAAACACTCACTATATTAAATCCATGCAAGGTATTTATCAATTATTTATGTTATATTGTAGACAAATTGTTTTTTTTCTAAATTTAATGTGGTATATTAGGGTATGTTAATAAGATCCTGGAATTGTTTTATAACTGAAACATGGAATAGAAAACAGAAAAACAATTACACTAGTGATGAATTGATTCATGACTGACAAAATAGAGCTCATATATTATATACATACATAAGATGAAACATTGAACAACAGTCATATAATTATGTAATACTTGAAGCAAGCTAATGTCAATGTTTAGTCAGAATGATGTTACCTTTATGTCAAAGTCTAGTGGTCCGTTAACTTCTGTTTCATAATAACCATCTGTAGATGCACACTTTTATACGCCCGTTTGAAAAACGGGACGTATTATGGGAACGCCCCTGGCGGGCGGTCGGGCGGGCGGGCGGGCGGCGTCCAATTTTGTCCGGAGCATATCTCCTACATGTATGGAGGGATTTTAATGAAACTTCAATATAAATGTTCACCACTATGAGGAGCAGTGTCGCGCACATGAACCAGGTCTCTAGGTCAAAGGTCAAGGTCACACTTAGAGCTCATTGAAAAATGCTTGTCCGGAGCAAAACTTCCACATGTATAGAGGGATTTCAATATTACTTGGCACAAATGTTCACCATTGTGAGGCGGAGTGTCGCGTGCAAGATTCAGGTCCTTGCGGGCAAGGTCAAGGTCACACATAGAGGTCAAAGTTCAGATAAAAATATGAAGATGTGTATATGGACCATTTAGTCATCATTTATTGAGGGATTGTAACACAAATGGTCATAATCAAGACTATGGCTGTGATACATATAATTTAGGTCAATATATACAAGGTCAAGGTCACTAAAGATGATGAAATATCCAGATTTTGTAAATAGAATTTAATCAAAGGGAGACAACAAAGTTATTACTTTGTTCATAAATGACTTACACAATTACTCCCCTTGATCTATTTTCTAAAAATAGAATTTAATCAAAGGGCATGAAATAATCCTCTTTCTTGGACTTGAGTATGTTGTAAAGAATGTAACATTTTATTTACACATGTTTCATTCATTGGTCAAGATACTTAACTGTGATAACTATGGTGTTCTGTAGACTTGGTATTTGTTCATAAAGATCATACAGTAATTACCTTATCAAATGTAAATACTTTCTCATAGAAATTTAATTATATTTTAATTTTCAAGTAAATATCAGTTCAGCTTATTCAAAGATTAAGAATTGTAATGAAATGTATTTCCCTAGAATAAAATCTTAAATCAGAATTTTTTAGTTATTAAATTACATGTACTTTTTATACGCCCGTTTAAAAAAAGATAAAAATATGAAGATGTGTATAGGGACGATTTAATCATCATTTATTGAGGGATTGTAACACAAATGGTCATTATAATGACTACGGCTGTGACACATGTACTTTAGGTCAATATATGCAAGGTCAAGGTCACTAAAGATGGTGAAATATCCAGATTTTGTCTGGAGCATATCTCCTACATGTATGGAAGAATTTTTATAATACTTTATGGAAATGCTCACCACCATGATATGTATTGCTCCATGCATGATCCAGGTCTCCAGGTCAAAGGTCAAGGTCACACTTAGAGCTCATTGAAAAACGCTTGTCCGGAGCAAAACTTCTACATTCATAGGGGGTTTTCAATATAACTTGGCACAAATGTTCACCATTGTGAGGCTGAGTGTCGCATGCAAAATTCAGATCCCTGCGACCAAAGTCAAGGTTACACATAGAGGTCAAAGTTCAGATAAAAATTTGAAGATGGTTATAGGGACCATTTAGTCATCATTTATTGATGGATTGTAGCACAAAATGGTAACTATCATGACTACAGGTGTTACACATTTAATTTAGGTTAATATTTGCAAGGTCAAGGTCACTGGAGATGATTAAATATCCAGATGTTGTCCGGAGCATATTTTCTACATGCATGGAGGAATTTTAATGTTACTTTTATAGAATTGTTCACCACCATGAGACGTAGTGCCCTGCACATAAACCAAGTCTCTAGGTCAAAGGTGAAGGTCACAGTTAGAGCTCATTGAAAAACACTTGTCTGGAGCAAAACTTCTACATGCATAGAGGGATTTCAATATAATTTGGCACAAATGTTCATCATTGTGAGGCTGAGTGCCGTGCATAAAATTCAGGTCCTGCGACCAAGGTCAAGGTCACACATTCTGTGCATATCTTCCCCTATTGATTTGTTTTAAGGTTCATTTAACAACACAGTGCCAAGAATAAAAACTTGCTTGCTAGATAACACTTATCCATAATGCCCCCATCTCCATCTAAAGCTTTTTCGTAAACGGGCGTATTTTGTGACTATGGCACCCTTGTTTAAAAATAAAATGTACCTATATTTATTTAGCTTGTCTTTAAGGATAGCTTCCACTGTGCAATATGTGAGAGACATTTGCTCTGCAACACCTCGTACTGCACACTGTCTCTCATTATTTACTAGTTCTGTAACTAACACTATGTTTCTAACAGTAACTTGCAATGTTATCTGACTTGAACTTTTGTTATCAAACACTGAAGTGGTACCATCCTTAAACCACTTGTGTCATTAGTAGAAATGTTTTTTTTAAACTTGTTTAAGTGTTTCTATTGTTAAAAGTTTGATTCTCACACAGTCCTTGACAACCGCACACAACTCAATGTCATTTGTTGACATCATACGCTCATTTGAAGACATGACTACAAAACATTGCTGACAAATAACTATTAAAAACAACATCTTCAAATTTGCTGAAAATAATGTTTAAATGTCAGCTAAAGTTAGTTGCATTTGCTTCTGCAGATGTTAATGCACAAAAAAGGTTCAATAGCCTTCTATTCTGTTAATAATGATAAATGTCTGTAGCTGTAATCTTAATTCTGCTCCTTTGATCATTTCTACATATTATAACAGAGTTCTGCCTGCCACACCTATTTTCTGGTGAAAGGTTAAGGTCACTGTGACCATACATTAAACTTGTCTCTGTATAAAAAAACTGCCCTGAATATCCAGCACTGAGAGGAGAGTTGCATGCTGCACCTTGGACATCTTTTATTTTATTATAATTATTGCAATATCTTTATTACATGTATATATTTATACATATTTAAGGAATTATTTTTACATTTGTTTGTAGTTACCTGATTTAAGTATTATCACTGAGTTTATGGAACCAATGGTTAAAGGGACAATTATAGCACCAACTGAACATATTGGAGAAATGGTCAATATCATTTTGGTAGGTAAACTGATTACTATATATTTACAAAACACTCTAGGAAAGTTAAGAATGATTATAACATATGATTGAATTACAAGTATATGTAATAATTTATGTATTGAAGTGTTTTCTGACATGGTCTTATAAAGTTGGCTTTAAGAAAAGATATCACAAGGAGAAAGAGCAAACAAGCAAACGTTATTGTTTTCTTATTAATTTGATAGATATCCCATGGTGACACCATAATATCAAGAACTGGTGTGTTGAAAATAACTTCATACCAGATGTTGAGTTTGGTTTTAGAAGAGTTGCTTCAACTACAAATGCTGTTTTAATTTTACTCTTAGCTGTACTTCAAAATTTATTTATGAAAATGAATTGTTATATTGTAGATTTGATATACATGTACAGAAATGCACTTTGGTAGAAACTTTATAAAAGCAGAATGAATGGGGAAATTATATGTATTATAACGAAATATGTTCCAGTTAGTAAAATTGTATGTGAAGTCCTGTTAAAGTTATTTTGATATCTCAGTAGGCTTAAGACAGGGGGAGATAATTTCACCGTTATGTTTAATGTATTTGTAGAAGATTTAGACTTTTTTGGAATATTGATTGTGCAATAAACCACCAAAGTATTTTTAGCTCGACTATACGAAGTATATGGAGAGCCGTCCTACTTGCCCCGGCGTCGGTGTCGGCGTCCGTGTCCAGATTTTAGATTAAAGTTTTGGTGCAGTAAATTATTTTTCACTGTAACTTTTTCATTTCTTAAGGTATCAACTTCAAACTTCAAATGTTATTCCTTATCATCAACCACATCTTATGTGACAAGGTTCATAACTCTTGCATCAATATTTTCAGATTTATCCCCCCTTGAACTTAGAATTTTCCTTAAAAAATACTTTTTTTTACTGTTACTTCTTTATTTCTTAAGGGATCAATTTCATACTTCAAATATATGTTCCTTATCATCATCCACATCTTATGTGACAAGGTTCATAACTCTAGCACCACTATTTTTAGATTTATTTTCCCTTGATATTAGAATTTTCCTTAAAAAAATATTATTTTTTACTGTTACTTATTTTTTTCTTAAGGGATCAACTTAATACTTCAAATATTTGTTCTTTATCATCAACCACATCTTATGTGACAAGGTTCATAACTCTAGCACCAATATTTTCAGATTTATCTCCCCTTCAACTTAGAATTTTCCTTAAAAATATTATTTCTTACTGTTACTTATTTATTTCTTAAGGGATCAACTTCATACTTCAAATATATGTTCGTTATCATTAACCACATCTTGTGTGTCAAGGTTCATAACTCTAGCACAAATATTGCAAAAATTATGTCCCCATTAACTTAGATTTTTTTTACTTGAAAAATGAGATTTTTTTACTATAACTTATTTCGTTTTAAAGGTATCTACCTCAAACTTCAAATACTTATTACTTATCATCAACTAGATCTTATGTGACAAAGTTCTTAACTCTTGAAGCAATATTTTCAGATTAATTTCTTTTTGAACTTTGGATTTTCTTTAAGAAATATTTTAACCTCTTTACTTTTTAAGGTATCTACTTCAAACTTAAAATATATATTTCTTATCATTACACACATGTTGTGTGACAAGGTTCTTCACTCTATCAGACTATTTCCAGAATTATTCCCCTTTAAACTTGGAATTTATTTTAACAAATGTTATTTTTTTACTATAACTTAATACATAAATATACATAATTGATTTTTTTTTTATAGTTTTGTCTTCCTTACTGTGTCCAGTATTAGATTAGTTGAGCTTCACTGTCTCCTGTGACAGCTATTGTTGGATGACATTGTTATTTTGGGATGACATGACTATTTTGAGATGACATGACTTTTGGGGGGATGACATGGTTATTTTGAGATGACATGACTATT